GGTTGCAAAGGGTTATTCTCAAACTCCGGGAGTTGATTATGATGAGACCTTTTCACAGTGGCCAAGATTAAGTCTATTAGGGTTCTGTTAGCCATTGCTGCATTTCATGATTATGAAATATGGCAAATGGATGTGTCAAAACCGCTTTCCTTAATGGAAAGTTGGCTGAAGAAGATGTTTACATGGTTCAGCCAGAGGGTTTTGTCAGTACAGAGTACCCCAGTAGAGTGTGTAAGCTCGAGAAATCCATTTATGGATTAAAACAGGCACCTCGCAGATGGAATCTTTGCTTTGATGAGAAAGTCAAAGAATTTGGCTTTTCAAGGAGTGAAAGATGAATCTTGTGTCTATATCAAGGCTAGTGGGAGTATAGTCAGCTTTTTGGTACTGTATGTGGATGACATACTACTCATAGGAAATGACATCCCAACCTGCAGGAAGTAAAGTCCTGGCTTGGGAAGTGTTTCGCTATGAAGGACCTTGGAGAAGCTGCCTATATCCTAGGGATAGGGATAGGATTTTGAGAAACAGGAGTAAAAGACTAATTGGACTTAGTCAAAGCACCTATGTGGACAAAGTGTTGAAAAGGTTCAACATACATAACTCCAAGAAAGGAGTTACCCATCCAGAGTAACGCCAGATTGAGTAAGACACAAAGCCCTAGTACTGAGAGCTGAGATAGCAGAAATGAGTCGAATACCTTATGCTTCAACTGTAGGATCGATCATGTATGCTATGACGTGTACTCGACCTGATGTAGCCTTTGCTTTGAGCATGGTTAGCAGGTATCAGGGGGGCCTGGCAAGGCACACTGGACTGCGGTAAAGAATATCCTCAAGTACCTACGGAGGACTAAGGAATGGGTCCTTACCCTCGGTGGCAGTGAGGACTTGAGAGTTGTAGGGTACAGTGATGCTAGCTTTCAGACTGACAGGGATAATTTCCGCTCTCAGTCGGGCTGGGTCTTTACTCTAAACGGAGGGGCAATTACTTGGAAAAGTTCCAAGCAGGAGACAGTGGCTGATTCCACTTGTGAATCAGAGTAATAGCAGCAAGCGAGGCAGCAAAGGAGGCTATATGGCTAAAGAACTTCATCGGAGACCTTGGAGTTGTACCAGCTATAAAGGAGCCAATGGAGATTTTCTGTGACAGCAATAGTGCGGTTGCCTTAGCCAAGGAACCAAGAGATCATGGGAGATCCAACACATTGACAGAAAATATCACTTCATCAGACATCGAATAGAAGAAGGAATCCTCGTGGCAAAGAGGGTATCATCGGATGAACCCAGCAGATCCCCTCACGAAGGGACTGACTCGGCTAAGCATCTCCAGCATGCTCGGAGCATAGGGCTGAAGATGATATTAGTTTTAGTAGTTAGATAATCTTGAAATTTGTAAAATGTAATTGACATTTGATGATAAATAAAAGCTGTTATTTATGAGTAAAGTGTTGCTATCTCTTGTCAATCGTTTACTATTATTTCTTTTTGCATGTTTTGACTTCCAGAATAATTATGTTATGGTTTATATCATATTATTCAAACTCTCCCCAGTCAGTCATATGTGGAAGTAGATGTGAATCAAGACTGTCATGGGTTGGCTTGTAGAGGTCTAAGATGTTAGACAAGCGGGGGCTACAACACTCATGAGTGCTCATAAGTTCTGAGTATTGGATTCAACCACGCTCACTTGTATCACTTCATGGAATTTATCTCGAGTGATCGTGAGACGGTAATATCATATAAGTCTTCAAACCTAGAGATATGATTTTTGCCTATGAGTTGGTTATGCATTGATTGCACGAAAACGCATTGGTAACTCGATGTTATAAACCGTGCTTTTGTGTGTAATTCAACAAGTAGTAGAGCAAACATATGAGTCGAAGTTTATCTGTTCCTTCTAGGATTAGAAGCGATATTTGGGCCCCTCGATGATTTTGTTTTGACCTATGTACCAGGCCCGGTCAGAACTAAATGATGTGTTCAGTTAAGTTCTATGTCAAACAAATCGGGAAATCGGGAAACAAATGCTGGACAATAAGCAAGACCATGTTCCATGTATTTGTCCGGCTGATATCTAGAACAGAGGATTATATGATCACTTATTTAAAATGGCGCTTCATGTTCAACAGAGTTTAAAGAGCTACGATGCTGATCGGTTCCTGAAGTCATACTTGCAACTATAGTTATTAGACTTATCCAAGTGGGAGACTGTTGGATATAGTGTCTAAGTCCATAATATATTTGTATGTACTTGACCCGACCCGGGCATGGTCCATTTGGGTTGCACTTCACCCGAACAATTTATGGATAATCGTTTGAGAATAGTATAAGTTATGATTATTAATATTATAAGTCCTAATATATTAATATAAATCATATTATTTAATTAGTATTGATCTATAATAATTAGAATTAATTAGAGATCAAAGTATGACTAATTAAATATGGGCTCTTGTATTATATGTGTGGGCTAATGCTTATTTGGAATGGGCTAGGCTTGCATGGAAAGTCCATGGATACTCCATGGAGCTTTAACCCATGGATCTATGGAAATGAAAAACATGGGTATTAGGGTTTACATGGATGTAACCCTAATCCACCCCACTATATAAAGGAGGCTTTGGTTCTTGAAATTGCACAAGTTGATGTGTGTAAACCAAGAGGGCCGATTCAAGAAGTTTGTGACTATTCTTCAATTTCCAAGTTGTGGTGATTTGTGACTTCCATTTGAGGCTCCACATTATTGGTGCTAGGCTCTCAAACTCCAAGCAATCAATACTACTACAAGGTAAGTAATTCTACTAGTTTTATTTGATTCAGTATCCCATGCCATGCTAGTTAGGATAAGAAACCTTGGAAAAAATAATTATTTGCATGTATCTTAGTCCAACATAGATCCAAGGTTTCTAGGGTTGCATGTACACCATAGAAGTGTTAGAATGCTGAAAACCCATCACAAAGACCACACAGGTGGGATGCGCCGTTAAGATGAAATACCATTTGGTGCGGGAGTTGTAGAGGAGTTTGTCGATGTGATGGAGAAGGCACAATTGGTTGAGTTTCGTCATCTTGTAAATCAAGAAAAACAGAAACATACAGATTCTTTGGAAAGGCAGTAATATGTTGCTCTGTTAAATATGGAAAATAATTTTCATCAGACTGAGCATGGCGAGAAACATACATACGACCCACTGAGTTATCCAGGGAAAGAAACCCTTTGTGCTGGGTACTATAACCAAGAAAAACACATGAAACTGTCCGTGGTGCTAATTTATGGGGTGTAGAAGCACCTAGGCATGGATAAACCCGACATCCAAACGGGTGAAAAGTAGAATACTCGGGTGGGTAACCGAATAAAATCTCAAAAGGAGATTTACCATCAAGAATACGAGAAGGTAAGCGGATTGATGTTGTAAACAGCCGCAGTGAAAGCTTCTACCCAATAACACAATGGAACTGAAGCATGAAATGCCATGGAGAGGCCAGTTTCTGTGATATGACGATGTTTTCGTTCGACACGTCCATTTTGAGCAGAAGTACATGGACAAGACATGTGATGGTGTATGCCATGTTTGTGAAAATGATCCTGTAACAGAGTATTAGTAAACTCCGTTCCACCGTCACTTTGAAACACCTTAATTTTAGCAGATAATTGATTTTCAACAAAAGTTTGAAACCGTTGAAAATTTTCATAAAATTCAGACTTGCGACGCATTGGATACAACCAAGTAAAACGGGAATAATCATCAATAAACACCGCATAATACAGATAACCAAACTTTGAAGGAATGGGTGAGGGTCCCCATAAATCACAGTGCACTAAGTTAAGAACTGAACTTGCACGTTTATCATTGTTGGAAAAAGGTAATCTTTTACATTTGGCTAACTGACAAGAATTGAAAGTAGATGAGTTTGACAAACCAGAAGTCACAGAAATGTGACCCAATTTATTCAACAAAGAAACAATGTCATATGAAATGTGTCCTAGACGATCATGCCATAATTTAAATGATGCTCTTATTCTGCGATTCCTAAGTTTGCCAAGAAATTCTTCATCACCACGTTCAAGAATGTAGAGACCAGATTTACGTCGGCCTCTTCCCACGATCATCCCTGTTTGTTTGTTCTGAATAACAAATGAAACATCATCAAATAAAATTGTAACAGGTAAATCTCGAGTAATTTTACTGATGGATAGTAAACTTTTGGTGATTTATGGAACCACGAGCACATCTCTTAATGAAAGAGAAGAATTAAGACGACAATTTCCAATATGAGAGATAGATAATGAGGCACCATTTCCAATATAGACACGATTGTTACCAGAATAAGGAACAGAAGATTCCTGTTGAGTGGATTGAGATGTCATATGCGATGAAGCACCATAATCGATGTACCAGTGTTATGTTTCACCAGAATTTAGGGAGACTGCATTGAAAGCCTGAGCAAGGTTTTCCTGAGAAGATGAACCATAGGTGGGATTAAGCCATTCTGGGCAATCAGGAGCAACATGGCCAATAACTTTGCAAATCTGGCATTTAGGCGTATATTGGCGCCGATTATTGCGACGATCTGATCCCGAGTGAGAGTTATTTCCCCCACCACCAGCATGACGTCCACCTCCTCCTTGACATGAGGCAAATTGATTATTTGATGATGGTCGTCCCCCACGCTGATGGTTGTGTGACCTATTATATTGAGCAACAAAAGGAACTGGTGCAGAGGCAGGTTCTTCCATCGATTGTTGAAACAGAGCATAACTCTTAGCATCAGAGATAGTGTCTGAAAGCGTTGGCATAGGTTTTAGATGAAGCTGCTGCAAAGAAAAAGTAGAGAAAATGGTCCAAGACCTCGACAAAACCAGTGTAGTTTGTCAGTTTCGGGTACTGGGGCGCCAATGGATGCTAATTGATCACAGATACCACAAAACTTGGAACTGAAATCTGCAACCGAGAGTGACCCGCGACGCATATGCTCAAGGTCGTCTTTTAATTGAATCTAACAGGTTTTGGATTGCAAGGCATAAGCCTTTTCAAGGGCACTCCAAACTTCTGCAGAAGATTTGCATCCAATAGTTTCTGCCATGGATTCCTCACTAAGAGAAGAAAGTAGAAGACTGTGAAGGCGACGATCTTGCATAAGCCAATCCTTCTTAGCTTTTTCGGCAGAAGCAACATCAGCGGGAGCAGTACTTGCGGACAAGGGATGAGAATTTGAACCATCAAGGAAAACAAAAAGCCCTTGCAATTGGAAAAGGGTCTCAACATGTGTCTTCCACAACAAATAATTGGTGGAGGAGAGTTTCAGGGAGAGCATGCGAATTAGGGTAGCATAGGGAAGAGATTGATTAGTCTCAACCATGATGACAACAGTGGCGACGGTAATTAGGGCAACGACTGTGGCTGAAAAATAAGGGGAAGAGAAAATTATGGAAGGGATATGGCTGATACCATGTTAGAATGATAACCCCAATGATTTGTTGGGTGAATGAATTAGACAAATAAATAGAAGATACAAACCATGTACAAGGAAAGTACAAGTAAATACAGCTCATGTACAACTAAGATACAACTGGAGATATTATCTAACAAAACTTACAATTGATGACACCCTATAAAAACATACCAGTTGTAGCTTTGACAAAGCAAACAATGTTCCAACAACAAGTAAAATGTTTCACTACCATGGATCCATAGTTCACTATATCCACACAAACAATCCTTTGATTTAGGGTAATGTTAGTTGTAATAAAAGAACTAAACTTGTAAGTAGAATCATGTAGCATAAAATAGTAGCTATAACAAGAGCAAGGAGTAGACATGAACACTGGGACTAACGAAGCTGGTGATTATGGACCATGTTTATGAATTAATTTAAAACATTTTCCATGCGTGTAAGTTGAGAGTTGAGAACTAAAAATAGAAAACACATACTATGAAGAATCACATTTCTTGTAAGTTTAAAAAATTAATAATATAAGGTACATAAGTTGAAGAGGTTTTACATGTATCTAACATTAGAATCATTATTAATTATAAAGAATATGAAAAGAATGCGAGTTTCAAATGCATGACGTGATAGGAAAAAAATGCATCCTTTATAAACACAAATAATCCTTTGATTTAGGGTAATGTTAGTTGTGATAAAAGAACTAAACTTGTAAGCATAAGCATGTAGCATACACTTGTGTAGCAAGAAATATTAGCTATAAGAAAAGCAAGGAGTAGACATGAACACTGGGACTAACGAAGCCGATGATTATGGACCATGTTTATGCATTATTTCAAAATTGTTTCCATGCTTGTAAGTTGAGAGTTGAAAAGTAAAACTAGAAAAAACATACTATGATGAGTCACATTTCTTGTAAGTTGAAATGATTAAGAATATAAGTTACATAAGTTGAAGAGGTTTTGCATGTGTCTAACATTAGAATCATTATTAATTATAAATAATATGAAAAAATGGGAGTTCAAATGCATGAGCTCATAGGAAAAATGTCTCCTTTATAAGTATAGTATGACACACACACACACACACACACACACACACATATATATATATATATATATATATATATAATCTTATAAAATGATTACGATATACATATATAAAGTTTTATCACAAAAATAATTATAGAGTATACACACACACACACACACACACACACATATATATATATATATATATATATACTATATATATATATATATATATATATATATTATATATAAGGTCATATTATTGTGTTATAAGTAACTATTGTGTGTACGTAAGGACAATTCTGGACCAATGGATAAAAATAATGAATGACTATGATTTTGAGGGTCTATGATATTACAATGGAATATCATGTACCATATTATCACTCATATTTAATTATAGGATATTTTAGGCAAATAACTATATTTAAAAAAATGAATTTTTCGAATTTTAAGGGATAATTTTGATTTTTATAAAAATTAATTCAATTTTTATACTAATATACTTTGTAATCATAACCAATTATATCCTATTTCATTCTGTCAGAATATCAATCTTTTAGAATTAAATTTTGTTAAAATGACATTTTGTTAGAATGACAGTTTATGGAATCCTTTAATAAGACATAAATAAGAAGAAAACATGAATAAGTACCTTATGAAAGAATATACAAAATCGATTTTTGAACTAATAATATATCAAATAATTATATTGTATGATTGTGATACAAAAAACACTCTTGAATAATAAAACATTGTATGATTGGGATACAAAAAAACATTTTTGAATAATAACAACATTCGCAACAAAAACTAAGAATTGTTAAAAAGAAAAAAAAGACATCAAAATCTCTCAAAAGCACTAATCCATTCTAAAAGAATATTATTGCTAAGATTCGTTTTATACATTCTGGAAGAATACATTCTACTATAGTACACTCTCGTTGTCGTGCTCTATATTTTCTTTTTTTTCAACATCAATGAAAACCTCATCAAAACCTAAAAAGAAAAAGAACATCAAAATCTTACAAATATATTAATCCATTCCGAAATAATATTATTGCTAAGAATTTTTTTATATATTCTGACAGAATACATAAGAATACACTGTTATGTGTATTTGATTTTCCTAGAAAATTAATATTCTGTCAAAATGGATTGAGAAATAAGGAGATTAAATAACATAATCAGATAAGAAAAATAAAACTAAATAACATAACTCAATTGTTGGTCCTGAAGAGACTCGGTTTACACAATGGAATTCTATTGATAGATTTCCTATCTGCAACTATTAAAATGTACATTTGATAGAGTTAGCATCAAAGTGTCACTAGTTTTCACTGTGAGAAACATCTATTACAAAAAAAAAAAAAAAAAAAGAATACTAGGCAAAGAAAGATTTTAAAAGAATTAGTAAATCTAAAATATGATTACCATTTATTCTGAGAGAATATATATGACATTTAAAATTTTAGCAGAACGCATACAACATTTTAAATTGGCAATGTGGGCTAGATTCAATGTGTTCTAACATAATATTTTTTTCATTATAGCATAGTAAACACCAAATTAGCTTCACAATTAAAACTCATTCTAGTTATCCATCATAGTAATTAAGAATCAACCGTGTTTTTATATATCCAGTAACACACCTAGCAATTCACAATGGAAATAATAAACTATATTATTATATATATATATAATATATATATATATATATATATATATATATATTATATATATATAAAGTGTATCAAAAAGCGTCGAAAACTCTTAAAGTTCTCATGAAATGCAATTCACAGTCTAAACTTTCTATTTTTCGTTAACTAAAAATATAGCACAAATTGAAATGAAAACCTTTACCATAATGAATTGATGTGACATGAAAACGATGTAGATTAAATATTAATTATGAAACTGTTTCACACAAAGAAATAAAACACGATTAAGCTAGCCCTAAAAGTAAACTGAAATTAATTCTTAAACTAGATAATGGACGGTTCTCCACAAATGATCTATGAAAATAAATTAAACGTGAAATTAATTCTTAAAGCAGATTTTGAAGGTTGTCCTAAAAGTAAACTGAAATTAATTCTTAAAATCATCAATATTTTAGAAATCAACTTTACCTAGTCGATTTTACAGAGATCAGAGGAGAAGAGGAAAAAACATACCAGCAACAAGCTGATTTCTTGGTGTTTGAAAGAGGTCGTCGATCTGGATGAGGCCCATTACTCTGTGCGTTGGAAAGAATTAGAGACGATAAATGGCATTAGGGTCGTGGAGATGATGACTTTAAATGATATTAGATGATGCTGATGATTTGAGAACGACGGTAATGGGGTGGTGTTGTTCAGATGGCGGCGGATGGAGGAAGACCGACAATGAAAAGAGCCGATGTTTTTTATGATGATTAAAGGGTTTAGTGGGGTAGGGTTTTAATAGGTAAATAAAAAACATCAATTGTTAATTTTGGATATTAATTAATGCAGATATCTAGTATTACTAATTTATCTTTATTAATATAATTAATGATTAAATTATTGTTAAATTCTTATTGGTCCATACATACACACAATAGTTGTAAAAAACATTTGAACCTCTATATATATATATATATATATATATATATATATATATATATATATATATATAGATCTCGTAAGAAATTTTTTGGTAGGAATGTAAGAAGTTTTTCTTTCGGCATATTCTTTTGGCGGACAAAACAAATGAATCACTAGATAAATCAAAAATAACATAATTCACAAAAAAATTTCCGAGAAAACATTTTGATTATTCATTTTTATGATAATTTTGTTGATATTCACTAAAATTGTTATAAAAGTGAATTTTTTCTTGATTTACTTAAAAATGAATCATGAATATGAATTTTGAGAATTATTTCTTTTGAATCATTTTACCTTTGAATTATCCAATTATTCATTTTGCTTGTTTGCTAAAAAAATATGTATATAAAAAATTTCCTACCTTCCTACCAAAATTTTTCTTCTTATTTTTGATAGGAATGTAAGAAATTTTCTATATACATAACATATACAAAATCAATATATATATATATATATATATATATATATATATATATATATATATATATGTTTTTGTTACATAGAAATGGTTATGTATGTCCATATGTTTTATCATATATAAAAGTTATACACGTATATTTATTTTATAAACTAGTAGGAGTTATAAATGTTTGTAGTTATATAACTTCAAATGTTTATGTATATCTATTTTTATATGATATATATTTCGTCACGATTTTTATGGGAAATAAAAATAGACTAAATACAAGAGTCATACATTAAACAAAAAGATGTGAATTATATTTATAAATGATATAGTATTAAAATACGGTTTTTGGTGAATTTATAAACAAAAGATGTTTTATTTCGTGTTACGAACGAAATGTTGTGAAAAGCAATTTTGTTTACGGTATATTATTTGCTTTATTTATATATGTTCAATTTCTCTACTTTTGGTTGATTTTACATATATTGAAATCTGATTTTTAGTTAAAACGTAGCCGTTATTATGTCCAATTTTGTTAAAAAACTTTGATATAGTTTTTAAACAATAAATGATTATCAAGTTTAATAAACCTATTAATATAAGGTTTAAGACTAGAACATATTGAACTAAATGTGTTAAGTGACTGTTTGATTTATAAAAACGTTGATTTATTAGCTATGAGTTTTTTTTTGTTTTTTTATAAAATGGTTATATATTGTTTGATAAAAATTAACCATAACACAAATGTTTTTGATCAAACCACTTACATGATTTTTAGCAAAATAAATGTCGCGTGAATCATAAACTATATTACGAACGATATAAAAATCGTCATAGTGATATAGCTTA